GCAAAGGGCTGACAAGCCTTGGAAAAGAGTGCAAATGAGTTTTCAGCTTTTGAAAGGCCGCCTCTGCATCATCCCCCCATTCAAAGTTGGTCTTCTTTTTTATTGCCTGGAAGAAGTAGAGACACTTGTCACCTGACCGACTGAGGAATCTCCCCAAGGCCGCCATACAACCTGTTAGCTTTTGCACTTCCTTCACAGTACAGGGCGACTGCATGTCGATTATCGCCTGTATTTTCTCTAGGTTGACCTCTATTCCCCTTTGGTCAATCAAAAATCCGAGAAACTTCCCAGACTCAACGCCAAAGACACACTTTTTTGGGTTTAGCATGACCTTGTGCCGCCTGAGTGTGGCGAATGTTTCTCGGAGATCAGCAAGGTGATCCGCCTGTTGTCTGGATTTGAATATCATGTCATCAATGTACGCCTCTACATTCCTTCCGGTTTGATTAATGAAGACCGTATTAATCATTCGTTGGAAAGTAGCAGGCGCATTCTTCAAACCAAACGGCATCACTGTATAACAGAACAACCCCTGATCAGTGACGAATGTCGTCTTTTCTTGATCTTTTTTCCACAGGGGGATCTGATGGAAACCTGAATAGGCGTCCATAAAACTCATCAGGGCATGTCCGGCTGTTGAATCGACCAGGCTGTCGATCTTAGGCAATGGATAACTATCCTTTGGACATGCCTTGTTGAGGTCTGTGTAGTCAACACACATCCGCCAAGTTCCATTCGGCTTCTTTACTAACACAACGTTAGCTACCCATTCAGGGAAATTGCATGGCCGAATGAACTTGGCGTCCAGCAGTTTTTTAACTTCGGCGGATGCCGCCTGACTTCTTTCCTCGCCATGGTTTCTTTTATTTTGTCGGATAGGCTTCTTTTTGGGATCCACGACGAGTTTGTGGACAGCAAGATCCGGACTGATGCCTGGCATCTCCTCCACTTCAAAGACAAAGATGTCTTTGAATTCTCTCAGCAGCTGGTGAAGGCTTTCGCCCAGCTTCGCAAACGCAACCGTCCCCACCTTAACCGTCCGCTCTGGGCGACTGTCGTCCAGAGGGATATCAATGTGTTTGCCAGCAGGTTGGGGACGGAGATCATCCGACCGTTCCCCGGTCAGTGATTGCTATTGCTTTTCTTTTTTGACCGCCACCAGCTGATCAGTCTTTCTTTTCTTTCCGGCTGGTGGGGCCGACTGTTCTTCCTCGACATTGTCGAGGTCAATCGTTTGCTTGCCCCGGCCGGATGCTACGGCAGCGGGCTTGACGTCCGAGAGATAACATTCTCGAGTCATCTTTTGGTCCCCATTGAGGGAACCGACTGTTCCATCATCCTTCTCATACTTGAGTAGCATGAGCGCAGGGATGATGACGGCCTTGCACTCATTAAGAGTGGGTCGGCCGAAGATGATGTTGTAAGCTGTGAGCTCTTCAACTACTAGGAAACGGATGGTCATGTGCCGACCATCTCCTCTGCTTCCTAGTCGGACTGGTAAGTCAATGCGTCCGACTGGGTGCACAAGTCCTCCCCCAAACCCAACAAGGGTGTGGGAGACCTCCATCATGCTGTCCGGCTTGTTCTTGAGATTGGATAGGCATTTGAGGATGATGAGGTCAGAGGAGCTTCCTGTGTCAATCAGGATTCGACCAACCAGCTGATTGGCCACCTTGCATTCAATGATCACAGGGTCATCATGCGGCCGGCGGACTTTGCCTCTGTCCTGCTCAGCGATGACGACTTTAGGGAAGGCGGATGTGCCTGCCGCCTCTCCTTCATCAACAGAGTTGACCATCTTCCTCAGATGGTCCTTGGTGCCCCGAATGGTCGGGCCACCTCCAGCAAAACCGCCTGCTATGGTGTATACCGGATCTTCATCAGTTTCGGCACTCACAGCAGGCTGGGGAGTCTTTTTCTTGGACTGCCCTAGGTTTGCCTTTGAAGTCACTTTGGACTTCACATAGGACTTGAGCTGTCCTTTGTTGGCCAGACGGTCGAGCTCCCGCTTGAGACTGAAGCAGTCGTTCGTGTCATGGCCAACATCCTCATGGAAATGACAATGCTTGTTCTTGTTCCGATTTTCAGCGGAACCTTTCATAGGAGTCGGCTTCTCAAGAGTCAGCCGACCCTTATTTTCCAAGAGAATGGAGCAGCAGTCCTTGTGGAATTCGTACCTTGGGACGTACGGATTCCACTTTTTTTTCTTCTTCTGGGCCGGTTGATCAGGAGTTATCAATGGCCCAGACTTGTTTTTTCTTTTTGCTCTCTTCTGGTTTAGGAGCCGGCTGAGAAGGCCGACTCTCTTTTTGTCGGTCGGACTTTTTATGGTCCGACTGCTTATTGGAGGAGCATAGTTCGGTCGCCTGTATATAGGCTTCCGCCTCCCGCAAGGCTCCTTGCAGAGTAAAGATTTGTTTGCGGACGAGTTCGTACTTAAAAGTAGACCCGTCCTTCAGACCCTTAAAGAAGTCTGTGAAAGCGACCTCATCAGACAGCCCATGAATCTGGATTCGTACTAGATTGAATCGTCTGACATAGGAACGCAAGCCTTCTCTATCTCCCTGTTGTACGTTGCCCAAGTCAAGGCTTGTATTTTTGGCAGGGATGTTCATAGAGAAGTTTGAGGCAAACAAGAACGCAAGCGTCTTGAAGCTGTTTATGCAACCAGCCGGCAGATTGCCAAACCACTGTTGGGCTATGCCCTTCAGGGTGGCTGGAAAGCAACGACACCATGCGACATCATCCAACCCTTGTAGATACATGAGGTGGGTATATGCTAGCAGGTGGTCTTCTAGGTTGGAGGTCCCGTCATAGGCTCCAACCAGAACATTTTTTTACTTTAGCCGGCTGTACGGCTTCAGTTATTTCCCTGGAGAAAGCAGAGGGTTGATCTCCAAGGTGTTTCAGCCTAAGGTGCCAGTCCGTCGGCTGATAGCCGTATGCCGCCTATCCTCCAAAGAGGGCAGGCTGCATGTAAGGTAGAACCGGCGCCTGGTACAATGGTTGTGCCTTGTACTGGGCCGACTGGATCATATGAGGACCAGACTGAACCCGTGGGCTGCTCGCTGGGGTCTCATGTACAGACTGGGAACACCTCGCAGAGGTATTCCGAAAGCTATCATGATAAGTCGACGTTGAGGCCAACTCCGATAGCTGGGTCTTCTTCTGCTCAATGTATTGCCAAGCATCAGAGAATGCTTTCTTACTACCATCCGGCTGTATGTGCCGGATGGCTTTTCTTGTGCCCGTTTCTGGGAAACGGAGCCTGGTAAGGTTAAATTGGGGCCGAGTCTTCTCAGGGTGAGGAGTTGGCTGTCGGTCCCTGACCAACTTCTGTTTGCCAGCTGAGGCTGACTTCTTGGTCGACTGCTCCTTTCTAGGAGTAGGCGGCTTCTTGGAGGCGAGTTGTTTAATTTTACCCCTAAGACTGCTCAGGAGTCTCATGAGTTCATCTCGAGTGACGGAAGTCGATCCTGCCGCCTGGGAAGGATCGCCCGGCCGCCCCGAGAGCTTCTTTGGCTGACCAGCAGTTTTGCTTGGCCCTGCCTGATCAGCGTGACGCTCCCGCTTTTCCTTACTGCGGATGCGTCTAGAGATGAGGGATCCGTTTGGGTCCACATAGGTTTCGACATCAGCGTCGTCACCCGAGTCATGGTCCGTCTGGACCAGTATGTCTTCTGGAGGCCAATTGGCCTCTGGATTCGGTACAGGGACTTGTGAAGCCATTTAAGAGGTACTCTCCCCACAGACGGCGCCAAATTTTTCGGGGGTTTTTGTCCCTTGGGAGAGTTACAACACTGAGACTGGATTCAGCAATGGACGCCTGTACCTGCAAAGCAAACGGACCGCCGGATGGTCGGTGGTCCGCCTCCGAAGATTAAGTTAGTAAGCGTTCGGTAATAAAACGTGCGGAAGTAAAGTTATCTGCTCGGATCCCAAGCTCAGGTAAAGTGATGTCTGTTCTTTGAAAATGACAACTCTGTAGTAAGTGACGTATTGTCTCGTATTGCGTGTATATTCCTGTCCTGTCATAAATGCGAGAATGTCCCTATTTATAGGGTCCTTTTGGATAGTGTGTCCTCCCTAGGATCTGGTGACCTAGGGATTAGGTCACGCCGCAAAACGGCGCCTCAAGGTTTGGGCCCTTGAAGGCCGCCATTCCAGAGGCAATGCCTGAGTGACACGTGTCACTGAGCCCAAAAGGTCTTTGGGGCAATTTTTAGGATGACACGCGTCGCCTTCCGATTGGTCCATGCTGGATCATCACTCTGTTTAGGGCAGAGGAATGTCTGCCCTCCACGTGTTATCATCTCATAGGTCCAAATGACACCTTTACTGAGGACACGTGGCATTTTCTGATTGGGCCACCTGGCCGGGTAAAAATACCCAAATCAATATGAGTTATACGTTAAGCAAAATATAATCAAGTGGGATCTTGTTGGATTCGTCTCATATAATACTTCCACAATATCAACTTTTTATAATTTTTACTGTTACACAATTATAGATATTTAGCATATAAAATGTGTTTTGGGATGCGTAATTTCCTCCTTGTTGCAATATTAACAGAACGGAGGAAGAGCAAGCGAAAAAAAAACAACAAAAGGACTAAACGTGGTAAAGTCATGCCCCTAGTATCCTCCTCTAAAATAAACATTATTAATAAATTCTAATTGGGAGTAATGAAAAACTCTGCGATTGGCCAATCAATCCGCCGCTCGATTTCCTCCTCAAAATACACCCCATCTGGGCCATCTCAAATTAGGTACCACAATGTCTACAATCATGTAAAAAAAACATAAACTATACAAATATATCCTTATCATAATCTTATATTAGATCTTATCATAGTTTGACAGTACAAGTGTACAACTTCTTTCCAAATGCAGTATAGATAATGGCTTAATTCAAGATAGTGGGATCATAATGTTTCATAGCTAACGTATTCATCTTGACTAAAATTTCTGCACCCTTTCCCTAAATAATAAAGTAGCATATGAAAAAGAGAACACCACATTGAACAATGAATTATTTAACAATGAATTACTAAACACATAATGGATGCCCAAAAGAACAAAGGCGAAGAATAATACAGTGATGGCTGGAAAATTTTACGACCAAAGTTTAATAGCCATTGAAATACTAATATCAATCTTAATCTTTAATCTTAGTAAATTAGTCATTTCTCCCAATTTTTTCCCCTAAATTTTAATGGTTAGAATGTTTTGAATGAGTCAATATTAGTAATATACTGCGCGAGAACAATAATACATCAAATGAAGAGATTTCTATTATCCAAGTTCTTCACCAATCTTCAAAATATAAAGCTTGATTGTGCTCTTGTTCAATCCCCGTAACTGATCACTGTCTTTTCGTCAAGCTTTCGAGCAACTAGAGGCAGCATTTCGCCTTGCACAGCATCCCACAAAGTACACTATTGACTGATACAAGAAAAAGTGGAAGCAAGAAATGAGAAAAAAAAGCAGACAATTTGTTTCTAAGTCCTTTATGATGATGATGCATGCATGTTTATGCTTGGAGAACAAAAACTTATATATTATGTACACAGGCTAATACTGAGCTATAGAAAACATATACGAGTATATTCATTAAGTGGCTAGTATTTGACTTCTATATCTTACCAAAACAACGAAAAGGACCACGTTGAATATTGCAACCACCCTCCACTCAGTTTTCATGTACTGAGCAACTCCTGCCCTGAAAAAGTACAAGCAAAAGCATTATAACTAACAAACAAATCGAGTTATAATAGAAAAAGATATGCAAGTACTTTAAGGCGAATTACACTTACTTGCAGGAATCACAATTGTAGCATCTAATGGTCTTCTTGTTCTTGTACAACTTGCAATCTTTGTTAGAACTAGCCGGATGATAGCTCAGATCATAGTATGAAGCATTGACAGCAGGATAGTCACACCTAACAGGTGATAGAAAACAGGCTTTTAAAACGCTAGGCTAAAGCAGTGTCACAGACATCCCTCACATCTATTGCAATTGAGTACTTGGTCAATGATGCTTTACAATATACAAAAGCAACAAGAAATAGCCCAACAAACACACGATGAACAATTAAAAGTTCCAACGACTGAGTTCAGTTTCCAGCGAGTCCCAAGTAATACTGGTCAAAGATATAAAGAACAAAGCATGTAATTTCAATTTGAAACAATGTTCAATAATTGTTGCCACTAAAAATGGGGAAGGAAAATTTAAATTATTTGCTTCTAAAATTCTGAATACCAATTAAACAAGACTATTAGAAACTTACTCAGATGGTGGCCTGCAACAACCAGCCTCAATTGGGGTCAGTTTTGCTGCTTTATACTTCTTCAAAGTCTACTGGATACAAAAAGATTATTGTAAACACAATAGTATTTTGTGCATACCCCATTCCAAAAGATCACATTTATTTTATATTTGTCAGTGCCAAGAAAAAACCCATTCTTTCCAAACTCCCTCTGATACAAAGTTACATTTTACATTTGGCCCCATTTGGGTTATAGCTTGATAATTTTGGGTGTTAACTTTTCAAATGATGAACTGATTAACATAATCATCTCAACAATACGTTCACAGAAAATACGTATATGCTTTACTTCAGCATAAAAACTAATAGTAATCCTGCCAAACTGAGACATGCTAATATATGGATTTTGGACTATCACTGTTATCGGTTTTTTATATAAAACACAGATTCAATTAAGAGCAATAAAGCTCACTAAAGTTGTATGGTTTATCACAAACCTAAGTCATGTGTCAATTGGCAAAGATTTACTATATAGTGTGAATTATAAATTCGAAATCAGAAATCCAAAATGATCAAAAAGCTTCCTAGGAAAACCCAAGTATATATTACTCCGTACTTAGGATTAGTAGATGTCAACTAGTTTAGACAATTAAAGTCTTAGAGGTGTAACAAAGCCCTGGGATCAAAATCACTTTGTGGCTCCCTACTTCCCTAGTCACCAATAAGAAATTAGGATTAGGTTCTCCACTCTTCTAGAAAAATTTACAAGTCTATATAACCTATTATTAGACATGGAATGGCATGCCCTATTCATTGTCATAGTACAGATTTTAGAGAAAGAGGAGATAAATTGAGCAGCTACTGTTGACTCTAGATTTTGCATTGAAAGATCAAGAATATTCGATTATTCAATACGTCAAACCCTATTATTTTTATTACATTACCTCAAGCATTTGACCGCATAAGCCCTAGGGAATACTATTTTCATCTTACTCTCTTAAATCACCTTCCTCTTAGGGTTAGTTTGTTATGGTAACGAGTATTCAGTTTTTTGAATAATTAAAACACGTTTTTTTGGAAACTAGATAGTAGTTTCCCAGATTTCGGTCACAAGTTTCAAAATTTGTGTGACTAAATAATGTGTCATGTCTACTAATTTTCAGTTCATTGTTTAACTTATATCATACCAATTCTAAATCTGACATCCAAAAACCGAAAACTAGTATATATGAGTTATTCACACCTATCCAAAAAATTGGGCATTGTTATTCTGTGATGGAAAGAGTAAAACTTGTACAAATAAAACAGGAATATGGAAAACATACCTTGTACTTCTTGGACAGCTTAGCACAGTCCTGAGATTTCACGAGACAGGCCTTCAAATTATTCCAGTTATGGGTATTATTTAGCTGAAAGAAATTAAATTAGCTATGTATCACAAAAGTTGTCATCTGTAATCAGTATCTCTGCCCAAGATTTTTTTTTTTTTATAAAAAAAAAAAAAAAAAAATTAAAAAAAAAAAAAAAAAGCGCAGAATTCTTACTTCCTTCAGAAACCATGAACTGTAATCGTGCAGTTGATACTCCTTATATCTGATGAGATAAGAATAGGTAAAACCTTAAATTGACAAGCATCATTGAAACAAAAGTGAAATATCAAAGCAAATTAACAGTTATAAGCACATGTAGGTATGTAGCCACAAAATTCCACACAAATTTCACATTTGATTATTGCCACAACAGAACTAAAGGTTAAAAAGCAGAACCCAGGTTTAGTTTTTACCTTAATCCAGCCACCTTGTGTCCTGATCCATTATTTGTCACAATAAATCTGAAAACATAAAGATTGTTAGGAATATAGGAAAATAGATCAATGGAAATCACTCTAATCAAGGAGTTTATATTATCTGACAAAGATCAATCAAATACCTCAGGACTTTAATGTGCACGTGAGAAGAAACTAAAAATATACATAATCATCCAGAAACCAAAGCCATCATTATCAAAAGGGAAGACACAATTAGCAACATTAGGAGTTTGGAAACCAAATGAAGCCCTTCTCAGTAGAAGCTAGAAGCTGCATCACTAAATACTCTTTTATACTATTGTTTTGGCCGAACTATCTAATATGTCAAAAGTCTAATCCATAATTTCATTGCCTATTTTAATTTTTTTACTATCACAGTTGACTTTCCTTCCAGATCTTCCCATCACACTAGAATTTGTTTTTTTAAAATTTATAAAGATCCAAAAAGAAATCAAGTTGATTACTTCAGCCAAGGTCATCCACATTAACCTTTTCACCAACCTACCAAGCCACCAACTACCCATGGGTCAAGTGAAGATTCTAAGAAGACCTATAGGGCTAGGTAAGGACGTCATATAACAAGAAAAAAAAAGAGGTAACAACGATAGTAGTTTTGTCTGTACGAAGACTGCTATCACACATAGGAAGGAGCTAAAGTGATAAAACATGATGAATTAGTGAGGGGTTCACCTTCACCACTTCCATGTCTGTACATCCAATAAAACAAGTGTCCTCATTTTCTTTTGATAAAATTAAAGTTTAATTAACCCTGTCCAAAGAAAGTATCCAAACACTAAGGACTAAGAAAGCACAATCATAACACACCAATTTGTTACAATTTGCAACAAGTTACAATTTCTGACATCAAGTGGACATACAAGGAAAGATTAACATCTAGCGTGAGTTCAAAACTTCCAAGTATCATTAACCAGCTAAATTGAGCTGATCAATTTAAAGTTTCAACTACAATGCACCAAGAATGACATTATAACAATAATACATCTACAGTGACTACAAAGACTCAATCAATCAAAGCCTTAGTCCATAAGTGGGGTCGGCTACATCTGCCTACATGACTACAAATACTCAAAACAAACAAATTCTCACCACATTAACTATAGTGCTAATAGTCTAGCACAAAGCTACCATCAACCCTTGTAATGCCTAACTTAAGCTAATTCAAGAAACAAAGAATTACACTTGGAAGAAAAAAAACTTACGCCAATACAGTGAAGATCAAAATGGCGATGAGTATCAAGCATAACAGTGTCAAATACTGAAAAAAGAACATAGGTCAAGGAAACCTCATAACAGAAAAATCAATGGATCAACCCTATTCATTCATTAAGAATTCAAGACAAAGGATACAATCCATAACAAGATTGAGTTGTTCTTCCATGCTCCCACTAACCCAATTAATGATCTGTAAGCCAAAAAGGATATTAAATTCATCATCAAATATACCCAAATATGCATTTTTTAATAAAAAAATAAAATAAAATAAAATAAAGGAATTAACAAGGGTTTACACTACAAGTATGATAGCACCAAGGCCTAAAACAGGAAAAGTGAGAGATTTTCTGCAACCATCAGTATGACTGCTCATCCATATTCCGAATCCAATTACTCCCAAAGCTATAAGCTGCATCACATCACATAATCACAATTTAAGCAAACCCCATTTCACAAATTAGCATTGAATTAACACCCAAAAGTAGAAAATTAACCAGATTCAAAACAAACCCATTTCCCAAAAATAGAAACCCATATCAAATAATTAACATTAAAAGCACCCTAAAACAAAAAAGTTCAACATATGAAACACATACAGAAATAATCCCTAGTCACTACTCGGTCAGGCTTAATTGATGCGTTACTAGTTTAAATTACACTATCAACGTGACAACTAATTCAGGCCGTGGCGAGTAAATAAAATAAAGAGTAGAGTGTGTTACCGTGGTGAGAAAGTTGATCCATTTAATGACAAAGGTGCTAGTTCCTGCTGCACCTTCAGAACCCATCTTCTCTGAAACAGAAGAGAGAGAGAAAATGGAAAGAAGCCGTTGAGTTAATTAAAGTAAGTTGAATAGAAGATATTAGAATAGAATATGAGATGGGTCCAAAAAATAATAATTTTTTTCAACTTGTTTTCTTGTTGTTTGATGGCGCTTGCATTGTACTGCAAGTAGAAGTTTCAACTTTCAAGTTTGTATCTTTGAGTTGGAACTTAGAAGGAACAACAAAGGAGGTATGTTAAGGAATTTGGAAGTATTGTTAGGGGTATTTTAGTCATTATGGTGATAGCGGGAATATAGGTGCATCTACAATCTAGATGTGTTTTTGTTACTTTTAGGGAAAGTCCAATTTTTAAATGTCTTGACTTAAATCTTGCTAATGAACGCTCCTAGGTGTTGGATATGAATTTAAAATATTGTCTAAAATAATATTAATTTGGAAAAGAATGATAAAATTACGCATCGATCAGTGTAATTAATGTTCATTTTAATTTAATCTTTCTACTTTTAGTTAGCTTATCCAACGCCTCCAGGACATTTGTTAGCTTTTACCTTTTTTATATACGGAGTACTCCGTATTTTATTTGATCTATTTAACCACGTTGCCTTTTATTTGTTTGTTTCAATGTATATTTTTGTAATACGGAGTAATAATGTGTAAATACGGAGTAATAATCGATAAATGAGCTTAAAAAACATCAAATTATAAATGAGCTTAAAAATCAAATTATACAACTAAAAGAAAGTGAGTCTCATGTGAATAAAAAAAAAAAACCGAAAGTCTATAAAAAAAAACGCATCAGTGGTGGAACAAAATAATTTTAACAAAAAATATCGTACAGTACAATATAAAGAATCAAAATCAACTAATTTAACTAATCTAGAGCTGGGAAAAAAACTTTAGGTTAGTGTTATTAACTAAGTTCCGAACAAAAGCGCTTAAAAATAAGGAAAGAAAAAAAAAATCAGGGTCAGAAACGCAAGAAGATTTGCTTAAATTTCGGTGCAAATTTCGAAAATTGACAAACCAATAAAAAATCAACTTTTTTTTTTTTTTTTGTAAGCAATAAAAAATCAACTAATTTAACTAATCTAGTCTAGAGCTGAAAAAAAAGAAGCAATCTAGTCAACAAGACCATAAAGTTTCTCGATACAAGGACGAATAGGAACGGTGACCCCTTTGATATTCTATGGTAAATTTCAAAGATTAGAAGGAAGAAACAAACACCATGCAAAAGTCAAGTATTTAAATAAGGGTAATGTTATATGTAGACTTAAGAGTTATATATAAGCATTAAATATAATCTTGAAAATTGTATAAAATTATAAATTTTAGACAAAAACTCGCGTAAATAAGTATTATTAGTGTTTATATTTTGATGATTTCTTAACTTTTTACGATTTTCAAGTGTAAATTTAATGCTTATACTATTAAACTCAGAGAAAAAAAGTGACAAATTATGAACAAACATGGATTCTTTTAGCATAGGGGCACATTATTTTTTTTTTTTTTTTTTTTAAGATAAATATGAAAATGGAAAATGTAAGAGGATCCTTACATGATAAATTTTGAATTTTAAAAACATTTTCAATAGTTATAGTTGGAGGGACTTGCTTGCTCTTTTTAAAGTTTCTTGCTGCTAGCATCTTCAAAGGATGAAGAATATTATTCCCTACGTAGCAAATTATATCAGAAAAGATTTAACATACATACAACAATTTAGTAGCCATTGGGATACAAATAATTGAATGCTTAATTGTAAATTAATTCTCTATTTGCATAGGTTTTAATTTTAATCCCACCATATTGTCCACGTAAGATTTGTATAAGCTTTATTTGTGTCTATACTTATAAAACCGCAGTCGATGTTTGTGTCACTTATTAAGATGTTGTACCTTATCACACAAGTCTCACAACTAACAAATCTCAAATAAGATTATTTTAGGGATTTCTTTTTTTTTTTTTAAATAAAAATTATTTTAGGAATTTCTAATAGAGTTGATAGATTTTTCATATAAAAAAGAAAACATACAAAATCATGTTACATAGAATTATTTTAGGAATTAATTTCAAAGATGATAGATTGTACGTGTTAGGGTACTCGAGTTACATGCACGTAGAACCTTCCGCTTCGAATATTAGGAAAGTCTTGGATAACAAAGAACTATACTCCGCAATTTTTATTTGGTGCTAACATAACTAACTATATGATAATCCGTAGATTTTTTTTTTTTTTTTGTTTTTTGGTAAGTAATTATATGATAGAATTAGTTCATATCATATAACTTTACTTAATTAGATTAAATTACAATAATTTTAAGAAGTTACCACCGCCCTAGATTGTATTACCGACCCAAAAGCTATATAATACATGTACATACATTTTAGTTTCACATAACTTCAATTCATAGCATAAGATCTTTTTTATTTGTAACAATTATCCATATTATTTCATTGCAACCATAATTTCTCACCATAATATGGAAGTTCATCCTACCCTCTCTCAATCTTCTCGACAATTTTCAAGCATGGAAGTTAATCATGAATGTACTTCGGAAGTCGTAGAGCTAGCAAGAATAACGGTTGAAATCTTAAGAAAGTTAACCAACTGGGGTGAATACTCCAAGTACCATGGCTTGGATTCCAAGGAAGGGGACAAACTCATGGACACCCTAGCCAAGACCAAAGGCCGCCTAGCCGAGGTGGCTAGGAGAAGAGCGGAAGCTACTGGCCGTGATTTCAACACGGTGTTTGATGAGACATACCTTGAGTTTATGCAAATTGAGGCCAAGATAATGGTGAAAGAGTTGCCGGTTGATCCACGTGAAACGGCGATGAAAGACATGGTGGTTTTGGAAGAAGATAGAGGAGAAGTTTGTGGTGTTTGTCAAGAGGAATTTGAAGTTGGAGAAACGGTTTCGGGAACTACGTGCATGCATAAGTTTCATGGGAGTTGCTTGTGGATGTGGTTGTATGATCATGAGACTTGTCCTTTGTGTAGGTTTATAATTTTGCCATAGAATTATTAGTTGAAGATTAATTTGGTGTATTGATTTATATCGATTGTTGAATTATTGATGTTGCAAAATTGCAAATCCAATGTAATAAGATTTGATTTTTGTAATTTGTTAGAGTAGTAGAATTTATTACAAATATAGTAACAAAGTTAGATAGATATTGAGCATATTGTATGTATGTTATACTCTAATGCGTATGCTTCTTCATGAATCTTGATTTAATAAAGATGTTTATTTTGTTAAATCTTTAGTAACCAATTATTAGGGTTTCTTTTTTTGTTTTTTTGTTTTTTTTTTTTTTAATTTTTAGATCAGGGTTGTTCCTTTAATTTGTGTTTAATTGAGGAGTTTTGAGATATGTCACAAAATTAATATGTTTAATAAAAAATAATATGGAGTACAAAATTTAGGAGACTTGAGATGCAAGCAATACAAAAATTGAGGATAAGATTTTTCCTCAATAATTAGGAAAAAAAAAATCAAAAAAGAAAAATTAAGGGGCTGGCCGGGTGTGGGGTTACAATAATGGAAAAGGGGTGGCCGGGAATAATGGAGGGCGAAGGGGTTGGCTTTGGGTATGTGGGTTGCGTAAAATATTTGGGGTAGGTTAGTAATTTATGATATTAGATGTTTGCCATTTAATGAAACAAGGACAATGTATAGAGTTAATTACATTAAAAGTGTCATTAAAAAGTAAAAACTATTGTCTAAAAAAGTTTGTTCAATAGTTGGTTCCTACAGGCGCCTGTACGGTGCAACGTACAGTCGTTTTGTAGGAAAGAACGTGATATATAAAAGTAATGAACATATAGTTATAGTGAAAAGAACATACTATTAAAATATAATGAACATATACCTAAAGTAAAAATAACATACTATTAAAATGTAATGAACATATACCTAGAGTGAAAAGAACATACTTGCACCAAAAAATAATATGTTTATGTTCATTGATCAGTCAGTGTAATGTACTTTATTGCAACATAGTGATCATTGCTTAATGTGAAATGTTTATTAAATTGTCTTCAAATTAGGGTGGTTATATATAGATAAAGTTTATTATATAATATTATCATGTTCTTTATTAATACTGCAGATGTTCTTTAGATATGAAAAAAATATATAAAATTGGATGTTCGTTACAAAACAACTATATGTTCTTTACAAAATAATTGTATGCTCTTTACAAAATAATTGTATGCTCTTTACAAAATAGTTACATGTTCTTTTTGCATTTTTTGGCTGTACCAAGTAAAGTATAGCCGCCTGCACCTTCAAATTTTCAGTTTATGACAAGAGTAGCTATTTACCAAGCCAAACTTGGTATAGTGGAAAGGAAAGCACCTTCCAATCATGAAGTTGGAGGTTCAATCCCCACTAGTGACAATTTGGGGGAGTGAGATTCCCTTATCTTCCCGCATTCTTCCATACTGTCTAGCCCACTAACCCAGATCGGGAGGACCGGTTCTGACCCGATAGGGCCCTTCCCCTTACCAACCCAAAAAAGTAACTATTTTGCCATAGAAGTGAAGGTGGTTTTTTTTGGGACAAAGTTACACACTAAAGAAAAAAAAAACTTGAAGTCACTGATCGAGTATGGATGGAGGAATTTATATTGAGCTTAGAGTATGGATGGAGGAATTCTCAATTGAAGTCGCTGATCTTGTAATGGCAGATTGCCTAGTTGAAGCTTAATAAAATTTCTTTGCTTCCTGTCAAAAAAGAAAAAAAAAATACTAAAAAAGGAAACAAAGTAGCTGACGCTTCCTAGCTGAAGTCGCTAACTGATGGGCAGGCAACACTGCAGCACGAGAGACCTTCATTATATGGGACATTTCGACTATTTGGATCCAACAACAGATAGAAGTGAAGGTTGAGACTTGAGAACAATGAAAGAAAAGGAGCAGTGACAAAAAAAACCTATATAAAAAACATTCTTTATTTACATTCGTGATTACCGAATATAATTTCAATGGATGATAGTTTCTGTTGATTGGTATTGTTCGTATAGTTGGTACAGCCTTACAGGTAATATAAGATCCTATAGCAGATTAGCATGTACTCGTAGATAGTATAAGAACCAAATTATCCCAATCCCAACTAAAAAATTACAATTAACAAATAAACAAAAAGGTTAGGGAGCCCCAAATTAAGAGACGAGATGAAAGCATTTAGAATCGCCTATTCTGTGGAAGGAGAGAATGTACAAATTGGAGGTAGAGGCTGATCAAAATCATATCTCAACTCTATTTGTGCAATTGAGAATCGCCAATTTCATCTCTTCTTTATCCAGTGACGCTTGAACCATTAACTACAAATTTCAGGGAGAGAGAATTTAACATAGTTGCAAATCTTGCAATCAATGAATCAACAGAACACAAATTTATCAAAAAAACAGATTATTGATACTAGCCATGGAAAATCTTAGAATGACAATCATTTTATTATAAGAAGCTAAGATAAGATATAAGATGCCACAAAAAAATTGGAGCAACTTCCGAAAGTTGACATAATTTTCAGAAATTAACGATGAATGAGGCAGGCAACCCTTAAAAAGTGTTTCCGTGCCAAGCAATGAGCCAAAATCATCTATAGGAGGCATATTTCAGTGGACCAAACATGAAACTAACAACTATCTGATCCCAGCATAAAAGGATGGAACTCCCACACCCAGGTAGCAACAAGATTACGAGAGTCCGATGTTAAGAGAAACACTACATAGCAACAAGTTTGAACATTACCTCCTGTACTTTGTTTCCAGATCGAGCTAGTAGCTTGTACTCGTTTTCGAACATAGATGCCATATAAACCTGAAAAGAAGAGTTAGATGGAGATATAAGACCACGAGAGTGATTGATAGCAAAAGCTTACTCAAGAAGACAAAATTGTGGACTTAGATAAAACGTCCCCTTTTTGAAGGGCTTGATAAATAAATAAATTGTCCCAGGGATTTCGAAGATTTTAAGAGCACAAAAATTGGAGCATTTGCCTTTTCTGACAGTGCACAAAACTAAACTTCCTCTAAATGACATATTGACATTACATACTAATTGACGGACATCTGATATGTTTACCTCTTGTGAGAGTGCACAAGACTATATTTTACTACAAATGATGAATCCACAAACAGCAATTTATATATTGATGAAATTTAGTTCCCCAAATAAAAAAGATGCAATGAAGTACTCAGTAAGAAACAAAGAAAATAAATATGTAGCAGCACTCTGTTTAATGCAAACTACTTAAGTCCTCAAGGCCCTAACACTATCATGGTAAATAGCTGCACATATGGCTCAAGGACCTTAACCCTAAGATCTCATTTTAAGTGACTGGCAAATGATCACATATTTAATTCATAGAAATGTGATTTAAGTGAAAGACACCTATTACAATTGAGATAAATATTGACACCTCATTGAGCTCACCTGAAATGTGGGTGCCAAACCAGGACTCAAGAAATACCGGCCCTTAATGACTTTCTGAACACCATCAATTGCTTGCAGTTCTTTAAAAAGTAAATCCACCTCAGCCCACTGGTTAATAAATTCAAAAAAATAATGTTAAGTTCGACCATGACCAAACTAAATGCCCATAAACACTTAAGCTGTGAATGACTTATAAATTCTGTTAATGACTTGTGGCTTCCTTCTCTACATAGAATTTTAACTAGACAAGCTCAAACAAAACAATATTAACACTTTTCAGTATATACTACAGGATTAGTCCAATACCAGCTTTTTAAGACAAGTACTCAATATTGAAAAGCATTTTTTGACATGTGGGTAAGACTATGGATTCCCGAGAAGCTAAGGATATGGAGATATTTGCAATATGGCAGCACAAATTGGCATAATTAAGGTAAAACATGAAGACACAAACCTCTGAGTCAATTTCTGCAGCATTTGATCCCCCACTGCAGCCATTATTTCCAACAATGCATTCTAATGCCTCATTTAGTGGATCTGGCTGCCTCAAGAAAATACAAGATAAGATCTGAGCAACAAGCAATCAGCCTAAAACAGAATAGCAATAAGAGAGCATGCTTACTGTTATCTCCTTTAGGGACAAGAAAATGCGCTCGAGTTGAAAGTCTAATTGAAAAACTTTAGCCTCCACAATCTGCAACCAAAAGCAGCCTCTTCAGGCCTCAACAACAACAACAACAACAAATGCCAAGCAGAAAATTTGATTTAAATTGGGATTTTGTCTACATTAAACATTTTATTCTCAGTTGGAATTTGCTCATTTGGACAGGAAGCCCCAAGTTGGCTACTAGCTATGCAAATGGCTAAAATAGCTGTTTCTCGAGTTTGTAGAATACTAGAATCTCTACAGGTTGAAGCATGAGTTTTCAAAATCCAGATTACATGGCATGCCTTATATACATTAACATGCATTTTTAATTATAAAAGGCAAGCCTCCTTACCTGGCCAATCTTAAGGTATGATGCAGGGTCTAGTGTGCCATCCCATGTTACTTCTGTCTGATGTATTAAAGCAGGTACTCCTTCAACCTACAAAAGCTCATCTCATTACCAGAACATTGATTAAATGATTCCTCAGAATATTTATCTACACAAAATAAGTTATTCCATACCTCAACAAAGATACCAAAATAAGTTATCTTCTTTATGCAGCATTTCACAACATCTCCCACACTAAGCTTTGCCTACATTCAAAATGTACAGTAAATACATTAAAATTTAGTTTTAAGAGAAAAAGGTTGACAATCAATCATGAATCATTTTATTACAAATCTATGTACAAAGCTTATATCCTTTTCTAGGACCATATGCTTAAATCATCTCTATTTTGCAACAAAAATTCCTGTACACAGAAATTTATGACTGCTACCCTCTATTAAGCGAATTTAATATCCTGTCTTAAAAAAAAAAAAAAAAAAAAAAGAGTACTTCTTGCCATGGAGGTGAGAACATCTGAACATGTATGCAACCTTATTTCAAGCAAGAAGAGATTGTTTCCCAAAAGAGGCACGCAGAAAAATACGAAGTAATTGTTGTAAAAAGGATAAAGGTAGTAACAAAGGGGTAACAGCAGGTGTTATCAGCCAAAAAATAAAAGCAATGTACCACATGAAGTCTTAGCAGAGAGCAATCAACAGATTCAACACAATCCAACATTACATAGTTTGTAATTATTAAACAGACTGCTATACTGTGCCGTCAAAACATTACTTGCTCCCAAGGCCAACAAAGGCTCCTGGGAGGTCACCTGATCAAGTAATACTAGCCAAGCATATCAAATTTCAGAGTTTGCATGAAAGCAATCACAGTTGCTTTCTAGTCCTGCAGTCTGACAAAATTTCATACTAGCTGTTGTAAACACAGTTCATCTTTTCTGCCGACTAAGGGTATATTTGGATTAAGGTCAATACATTATGGGGATGATAAAAGTCATTAAGTCAAACTAAGATATGAAGGTGATTAGCAATTAAGTCAAACTAAGATAGGGAATATGTTAGTATGAAGGGAAAGGAAGAAAGATAGAAATGATTACCCTGATATTGGGTATAGCACTTACCCACCTCCAACCTAAGATAGCTATTACAAAGGAGGGTAATAGTTTCCCCCTCTCTCCTTTCTTGTTGCACTTTTATTACTTCATTTTCCTTACAAACAACCTCTTCTCACCTTTATTTTGTCTTTGAGTTTTACTACACCATCACGCATTATTTTCAATCTAAGCATGCCCTAAGGGAAGCATAGGATCCTCTATCACAGATGAAAGACCTAATAGAGTTTATAAGGTTGCTAATTATTCAATGCAGCCCATCTTCATTAATTGAGCTGGTCTCTTTACTAACATTATACAGACATCCTATAGCTCGAAAGTTGAAAGTATGATGTCTTCTGGGCTACATGAAGACACACAAGCTGTCAAAGAATATTATGAATAGTTTGCCCTTCACTTTACAAGTACAACTAGTCAACTACTTCATGGCTAGAGTCACTCTTGCTATTATGTCATCTCCACAATGGCTGGGTTATCCTAGGCTCCTAGCTAATTTGCATAATGATCCTCTTATCTTATCAGAAAACCCTTTCCCCCATCTCCACCCCCACCCTACAAGTACACCAATATACAGTCTGTAATATGACATTCTATGACCTTATTCAGAAGATAACAGCACACAGTATCTCTAGCTGATAGATTCATCCCATTTAACTATTTAAGATCCACAATATGCACTAATCTGCAACACCACAACAGGTGAAGATGATAAAACTATAAATCAATTTAACTGCTGGGGGAGGCGGGTGTTTTGCACTTAGTCAAAAGGCTAAGATAGTAACATAAGATAAATGCAATCATGGATTTTCTCATTATATAAAATTAGCTTGCATGAATATCACACCTACCATAGGAAAGCCCATATATGTGGTACCCTAAAGGAACTTCCCTAATCACAGTTTGAATTAAGATCTAGGTCACTGATGTCAAAACGTAGTTTTTAAACACATGAACATTTGATCTGCTGTAAAGAAAATAAGGTTGCATTAACAAAATGAAAGAGCCAAATGCATATACATATATACAAGGAAGATGGAAAAGCTCACTACCATGAGGCTTCTTTTTTTCTCAACTGTTTCTTCCTTTTCCTTTGGCCTCATAGAAAATATAAGCTTCCTGGACTTCCTATCAGCCAACATGACATTGACTCTGATATGCTGCAAAGATGCAATACATAGTAAATACTAGATTTTCATGAATCTAAGCATATGCACAGAAAATTGCTGAGTTCATGGTAATTTGATCAAACCTGACCAATATATGATGACAAATAGTGGATCTTCTCTTGGTCATATATTTTCAAAAGATCTTCCAGTTCCATATCAGCAGTAATTTCAAGTTTTTCTTTTTCTCTATGACTGGCTTCTAGAACTGGTGAGGACTCAAGAGAACTGCTCTTTTTAAAAACATCATCATTTCCTATAATGCCTAAATGTTGCCTGTACTTGGATGGATCTAAACCATTTCTTCTCAACCATGACTCAAAAGCTAAGAACTTCCACTTTGCTGCCAGGTTTCGATATGGTAAAAATCCTATTAATGACCCATAGGATACCTGAAAGAGAAGCCAATACATGTAAGATAAAAACAAATATAGAAAACAAGGAAGAATGAATTTGTAAGCTTCAGTCAAATCCATACCACAAATCCTCTTGGACTGCAATTAATTAATTCCACATCCACCTTATCTCCAAGATTAAAATGATGCTCCAATTGTGTCCAAGCAGTCTCTTCCGTTGCCTACAAGAGCATAGAGGATCAGATCTACCCCCATTAATAGTGGTTAATTATAACCAGTGGAACATAAGAGATCTAACCTTCAGAGGCTGTGGCTGAGACAATTCTTCCTGGACACCTTTACCATCGAACCTTTCAGGATATGCATGAACCGTGCTCTCTTGAATTGGGTAGGATGATGTTTCTTTTACAGATTGGTCTAATCTATTATTTAAAAACCTATTAGCATATTAAACTTGCTAAGTTTAAGAAACATGTGGAAAGTAACCGGAATTATATACCTTTTTGGTTTTCCCCGGAGAGCAGAATCAACAAAGAACTGAGAGGCAGTCTCTGTTACACCTGAGGATTTACTCACCCCGTCTCCATTCCCTGAATTTCCAGCATCAGTCTGCTCAAGGTTCTGAATTCCTTGAAAATAAATACTTACAAGCATTAATAGCTAGTCTTCGGCAAATACCTTCAGCCTAGAATAGAATGCAAAATCAAAGGAAATGCATTATGTACCTATCGAGGAAATCTCTCCCGGTCCATCTTGCTTTGAAATCAATTCGCCTCCAAATTCTAGAAACGTTTCAGTATAATCCTCTAGCATATCATCCATTCCATTAGGCATAGAATTGCTTCCAATCCCTTCAGTACCCTGGGGCACCATGGCTTGGGGTTTCTCCAATAGCATTTCTTCACCAAACCTAGTCAAGCTTTGACCGTCATCATCCATATTAGACTCAAATTTGTTTGCTGATTTGTTCAGAAGTCCACCATACACTGATCCATCTCTTGAACCATTTTCATTTATACCGCCATCCTCATTCGCCTCACTCATGTTAGGCTTCTTTAACAATGTCATCCCACTAAAAATCTCCCTCACTGGTTCTGTCCTCATCGACAATGTCAAATTCGGCTTAATCTTCAACCTCGATGAATTATACATTTCATCGTCTTCCTCATTATACACGCTTGGTTTTCGTAATATAACATTTGGAACATTGGACTTACTAACACTACTCATCTTAGTTCTAATTGACTCACTTGGCCTCTTTATCTCAGGCAAATTAGAATCGTCCTCACTATTCGTTTTATTTCTAATCGACTCACTTGGCCTCTTTATCTCAGGCAAATTAAAATCATCCTCACTACTCGTTTTATTTCTAATCAACTCACTTGGCCTCTTTATCTCAGGCAAATTAGAATTAACCTCACCACCCCCAACAACAATCCCTTTCTTTGGTACTGGTTTCACCAAATTCAAACCATTTGTAACTTTTTTCGACCCGAGCTTCTCTGGCACATCAAACGGAACCTCTTTCACTTCCACTATTTTCCCCTTGTTTCTATAAAAATCCTTCTCAATTTCGACATAAGATGCATCAGGGTTTAACTTCCTTCCCTTTATCTAAATCACCAACCACATAAACAAATATTCAAGCAAATTAACCCGCAGAAAACCCATATAAATACAAATTTACTCTAACTAAATATTTCAATCAAAACATATCAGAAAACCCATAATCATGTCCATGCAACAAATTCAATAAGCAATAAAACACATAAGTTACAGCAAAAATATGAAGCAAAACTCAATATTATGAAGTTCATACAAAAATTGCAGAAAAGGGAGTGTTGATAAGGTTGAGAATTGACCTTAGCTAAGGTAAGTTTAGGGTCTTCTCCCAACATTTTTCCAAATTTAAGCTCCATTAAGTCCCATTGATTGAGCTTTTTATCATCAATAGGGTCATTTTTAGAGGCAGAAACTGAGAATTTCTTAGGGTTAGTAAGAGTGAAGGATACCCTTTTAGTAGAGGGTAGGAGAGGAGAGAGAAAGGGGCGAGAAAACGATGGAGTTGGCGTTGAAGAGAGAGAAAGTTTTTCCATAGTTGAGATAAACTTAGATAATGTTGATGAAGAAGAAGGTGTTGCAGAAGAAGAACATTTGAAAAATTGTTAATTAAGCCCAGAAAATTGCAGGGAAATAAAAGGAACGGCTAGAGAAGGGAGGGAGTATGTTTATCCGCCAATTTGGAGACGTGGCGCCTTATGATTTGCACTTCTTAGAACAAGATCTTTTTCTACAATCCTAGAGTTTCATGGCATGGTACTTGATCTAGACAGGCCCGACCCGTTGACCCGTCCCAATTTCGGGCGGGCTTTGGAAATTAAAAAAAGGCCCGAATATGAGTTGGGCCTGACCCGCCTTGATTTTTTAAACGGCCTATGGACAAGCTTTTTTGACTCGGCCTAAAAAGCCCACTAAGTCCAAATATAATTTACGAGTTTGGACAAGAAGTATATACATTAGGGGTGTTTAAATCCGGGTACCCGGGTTTTCGGATAGGTACCCGGGTTTTTGGGTACCCGAAACCCGGGGTACCCGGAGTTTCAGGTACTTGTCAATTTGTCCCATGTCACGACCTGAATATCTCGGGTACCCGGGTACCCGAATTATTCGGGTCGGGACATAGAGTACCCGGATCTTTTTTTTTTGATAAAAAAAGTCATGAAATGAAAATAATCCAGTAGAAAAACATATCAAAGACAATAATAATCTTGTTGTCAAAAAAAAAAAAAAACAATAATAATCTTCATCCATAATTTCTTATCAGTATAATTGAATAAAAATAAGTTATACAACCCCAACAATATCAAATCTATTGATGAATAATTGAGTATACTAATCCAAACACAATGAAAATTAATTTACTACTAATTGAATTGTAAAACACTAAAACCCATATTAAATTGGGTAAACATATTCATCCCTAATTAATAAGTATACTCCATTAATATATTGGAAACTTGTAATCTTGTAGATCTGACCAAGAGAAGTCACCGCACCTTACCGAAGCAAGCACATCACCGATTCTCTGTTGATAAGAATACTCCAATTGTTGCTAAGAATTTTTGTTGTTGTTGCTTCGATTTGCTGGACGGAGATAGAGAGAGAAATGGGAACGGAGAAAGAGAGACGGAGATGAAGGGAGACGAAGGAGAGGGACGAAGAGAGAGAATTGTCTTTGATTTTCTTCGATTTGTTGGGGTTGTTGTTGCTTCGATTTGCAGGAAGAGAGAGAGTGAGGTAGGAAGAGAGTGAGGAGTTTGAGGGGGTAAATTTTTTTTTATTATTTTTAATTCCGGTATTCGGGTACCCGTTTCTGAAAAAATCCGCCCCATGTCCCGACCCGGATTGAAGGCAGTTTTCCCGGGTCGGGAACCCGACCCGAAAAAAATAGGCTTTTTTAAAAAAAATTCCCATCGGGTAGTTGCCGGGACAGCGGGTCGGGACATTCGGGTCGGGTTTTTTTGAACACCCCTAATATATATCAATTAGGCCTTAGTGTTAAGCTTTAGATATAAGGGCATTACGGGCATGAGCAATGGTGGGTAACTCACAATCATTACAAATCAACTTATTTATTTTTATCTTTTTCAAATCATCGCCAATCTCACTTTCCACTATCTTAAAGTTACTATTATGAAATTAATGAGTCACCTTATTTTTTTATCTACAATGGTAAGCTTACTCACTACTCTCTCACCTAAACATATTTTTCTTTGTAAGTGACACTTGTCATCTTATAATTGAATAATAGCAAAGCAAAAAATTATGAGCATGTCAGTTACTCGACAGTGGGGAGTGCTCCTTACCATGAGTAACTTACTTACTTGTGGGTCACTTTCCACAATGGTGAGCTAACTCACGAAGAGGAGAGAGTGTGTTGTGAGTTACTACTAACTCACCACTGTTCATGCTAGAGCACCTACAATGATGGGGTGGCTCACAATTTTCTCTTCCCTACTTTTCCCCCTCCACATCATATTCTACTATCTTGAGTCACCCTCTTAAGTCACTCCCTTTATTTTTCCTACAATGGTGAGTAACCCAACCATTCTCTCTCCTACTTTTATCAATACTCCACCATGTTTTGTCTCTCTTACCAATGAAGTTTATGTTTAATTATTCTTCTAATAAACATATTAGTCGAACTAATAATGACATCTATAAGTTCTTGAATTTTTCATTAATTTAGTTTACGTAATAATTATTTTTAATAATTATCAAAGTATTCGTAATAATGACATGATTAATTTAAATATTATTAAAAAAAATATTGAAGACTTAACTATTATTACTCATAAAATAACAATATCACATTTAATTCATAGACGGAATTGAAAAGAACACAGGAAAACATAACAATGAAAAAAAATAACATTACATAAGAAAATAATTATCCGACTACTTGATATCGTCACTCATTACCAAAACGACTCCATACGTGCTCAACCAAGTCTTTTTTCAATGACACATGAGTCTCCCTGTCTCGGACATTATTTCTATTTGCCATTAACCCGCTAAACTAAGATTACGTAGTCGTCCTTCTCTCACTACAGTGAATGGTTGGTTAATATATTGGTTTGAAGATTCGACTATATTTTGAGGTTGATCAGTGATAAATTCATATGCATCATAATGCTAATAGTTCTCTCGCTCATCTTCAACAATCATATTATGCATGATAATGCATGCCATTATAATTTTCCATAGGATTTCTGTCGACCACGCGAGAGCTGGTTGTCGTATTATTGCGAATCGAGCTTGTAACACTCCGAAGGCACGCTCAACATCTTTGCGATAACTTTCTTGCTTCCTCGTAAATAATCTTTGCTTAGCAGTTTGTGGAAGCTTGATGGCTGGGATAAATGCTGCCCATTTTGGATATATACCATTTGTAAGGTAGTATCCTATATTGTATCTATTTCCATTCACATTAAAACTCACCTCTGGGGCTCGACCTTCACAAATATCATCGAACATTGGCGACCGTTGGAGGACATTTGTATCATTTAGTGAACCAGGTGTGCCAAAAAAAGAATGCCATATCCACAAGTCTTTGGAAGCAACAACTTCTAAAATTATGGTCGCAGTTTTACTTCTTCCTTGGTACATTCCTTTCCATCCACGTGGACAATTTTTCCACTCCCAATGCATGCAGTTAATGCTCCCCAACATACCGGGGAATCCACGAACATTACTTTCACAAAGAAGTCACTCTACATCTGAAGGTGTTGCCCTCCTCAGGTACTATTGTCCAAATTTAGAGATAACCCCTTCAACAAAGTGTTGGAGACAATCTCTTGATGTACTTGCCTCGATTTTGAGGTATTCATCAACTGCATCGGCTGCTGTACCATAAGCCAACATCCTCATTGCCGCAGTGCATTTTTGAAAAGCCGAAGCACCAAGTCTTCCAGTGGCATAAGGCCTTTGTCGAAAGTATTCGTTACTTTCACTTAGCTCCTCAACAATGCGCGTGAAAACGTGTTTACGCATGCGAAATCTTCGACGAAAACATATCGTCATTATAAAAGTGGTTTGGGACTGAAGTAGTCGTTATATAACCGTGTATCAGCATCTTCACGATCTCTTGGTACGTACCACCTTTGCTTCTCAGGTCCGGGAGTGAATGGGACCTGAAAAGTAGAGGTGACAAGGGGGACAACAACTGAATTGATCGCTTCCTCAATTAATTCCTCTTCCTTACGTCTCTGAGTAATTGATTCGTGCCACTCAACATAGTCGTTCACCATATAATCGAAAATACCATAACTAGATGAATTTGAATCATAATTCATTCTTCGGTATATATGGTAAGATTAGTGTTTAGTGTGAGGCTGTTTTTGTGAGGAAGGGTATTTTTGGTTGTGTGTTGAACTACAAAGTGAATAGGCCTTATATAGAAATTTGTAAATGATTTTAAAACAATTACAGATGAGATAATGTATGGGCACAAAAAAGTAGAAGATGAGATTTCTGATAAGGTTTTCATATTTCTATCCAATTACAAAAAAAGCATGTATTGGCACACAACTCTAGATGATGAGATGTTCAGATCATTCTGATCATATATCCTGATTTCTATCCAATTACGAATTATTATATAGGCACGCAACTCTAGAAGATGAGATTTCTGATAAGGTTTGCATATTTTCATCCAACTGCAAACCAATGTTTGTGCCCATATCTCTAGAAGATGAGATTAAAGAGAATGACTTTAATTATATTTAAATAGCATCAATTAAAACAAGTTTTACATATGCTTAGAAAACAATTGTTAAATCATACCAAATGAACAACAACATAAATTAAGGCAAACATTGAAGAAGCTTAAACTAACTTAAAATAATATTAAACTAACAACATGAATAACTAGCCTAAAAGGTGGCTGAACTCCTCTATCAATTTCTGAAATAGTTGTTGGTCGTCTGCAGAGAGGTTTGGTGCAAGTAGAACACTAAATAACTTGAACCTCTTTCCTCTTCTTTCCTCTTTTTCTTCTCAACATCTCGCTCCTTTTGATAATCCAACATTTGTTGCGCTACATCAGCTTCTCATCAACACTTTTGTATTGCTCCTTCATCACATTCATCTCTGATAGAGCTTGAGTACACGAATCTAAACTACTAATTCCGGAACTAGCTACATATTTACCTTTTCTTTTTGCCTTTTTCACCCCATCTGGACGTCCACGCCGACCTACTTCCGTTGGAGTAGCTGGTTCTGATCTTTTGGAGCTATCACTTTCACTAGTATTCGACACTTGCTTGTTTGTTGGCCTCCATTTATCAGATTTTTTTAACACATCCCATGTACTGATTAAAGTGAACCAGGCTCCGTTACATGATGCACTATACATTTCTTGAGCTTCAGTCATGACATTGTAAGTGTTGGTACCACTTGCATTTCTACGTTGTGCCGCAGCATAGCACCCAATCCATAGGTTCACATCTTTGTTTATTCTACCCCTACGACATTTCATAGCTCTCAAGGTTCTGCGGCGGATAGTGGAAGAATTGTCTTTCCTGGCTTCCTCATACAAATCATATATGGATTTCCACATCATAGCCAATCACTGATCAGTTGCTGTCTCCGGATCTTCAATCGCACATTCTATCCAAGCTGAGACAAGTGCGTCGTCTTCTTGTGCACCCCACTTTGCATTTGACGAGGTGGTGTTGCTATCTTGCGGATCTTCACCAACAACGTCATCATCGTCATTTTCATCATCATTGGCATTTCTTTCAGGAGGAGTTTTGTTGCTACTTCCATCTCCCCCGGGAGTTGTTGGACTATTCTCCACTTGGTTTCCAACGTGTTGAGACATTGAGAACATTAAACCAGAAGAAAAATTTTGGGGAATTGGATTCATGAATTGTTGTTGGAATTGGTTAGAAAATTGTTGTTGAAACTGGTTAGGAAACTATTGATTAAGGTTTATAATTGGTCGGTTAGGAATGTTATAATATAACATTCTTTGAACATTTGGATTAGCAAGACCATTTGGATCAAAGTGGAGATTAACTTGAAAATTTGGAGAATTGGAACTAATTTGGTAATTTGGATTATTTGGGTTATTTGGGTTTTGTGGGGAGTAGAAATTATTTCCTTGATTATTTGGAATATTAGGATCCATAATTAGGACTACTATTATTTTTTTGGGTTTAGATAATATATAACTTAGCTTTTGTGGGTTAGTAGAAGGATGGTAAAAAATTTAAGTGTGAATAACATAAGTAATATTGGTCTCTTTTTATAGGCAAAAATATAAGAAAGCCGTTGGAAATTATTTTTTTTTTTTATTATTTTTTTTTAATTCAGAGCAGATTTTTTTTTTATTACCGTTGAAAGTTTTTTAAGAGATAAAAATTACTTGAAAAAAATAAGCTCCAACAGCTATAAAATCAATGGCTACAATTAAATCAAGACAAAAGTAAGTGGACACTTGGCGAAAATCTGGTGGACCGCGTCCTCCTTGACGCGCGTCAGAAATTTCAGTTTTTTTTAAAAAAATTTTAAAACAGTCAAAACGGTACCGTTTTCAACAATAATTGGAAAAAAAAAAATGAAACGCAACGTTCTTTTTTTGCGTGGGCCGAGACATTTGATGACTTGCCAGAGAGGGCATCCCCATCAAATGGGTAACCCATGAGTCACCTCTTACAATGGTGAGGTAGCTCAAATGGAGGAGAGAGAGAGAGTTGTGGGGAGGGTGCTCTCTACCATTGTGGGTGTTAAGGAATCTATCACTTTTCATGGGCTAGCTCACCATTTTCTCTTTCTTACTTTTTTACTTTACATCATCTCCACGTCATTTCCCACTATGATGAGTTACCATTGTAAGTCATTCTTCTAATTTTTCTACAATGGTGAGTTACCCCATAATTCTCTCTCCTACTTTATCAATACCCCACCAATTATTAATATTATTATTTATGTTTTAATTATAGTGATTTAATGTTAACAAATTCAACTCTTTTAATTATTAAAGTAGTCACTACAGTACTTAATTTGATAATATAATTAATAGAGAAAATGTAAAAATTTACTTGTGAAAAAATATGTCAATATTGCCATATTGGACTCTATTTATAAAAAAAAAAAATTATGACAAACTCAACGATAATTTTTTTTTTTTGAAAAGCAATGTAGATTTTTTTTATTAACGTTATAAGATATTTCACCCTTTTAAATCTATACAAAATTTTGGCAAATAATGCATAACGGCTACATTTATTCAAGTGTCATTGTAGTGTACTGACACAAAGTAAACAATGAGGCAATTTTATGCAAAACGTTGTCGTTTCACACAACAAAAAAGCAAAAAAAAAAAAAATTAACAAAAAAGAGCATAAATGAAAGAAGAGCAAGTGTCTCTGTTTGTGTTGGTGATTCCCCACAGGCCACAGCTCATGCAATGATGTGGTCTCGACTTGATGTCTCTGTTTGTGTTGGTGATTCCATAATAATCAACAAGTGATTGCTCCTTACTACTGGTTGATATAAAAATCATCTGCTCGCACAACAATATGTAGTGAGATTATATATGGAATAGGGCTGGCAATCCCTGAGCCGACCCGATAGCCCGATTTGAATCCGCACCGAAGTTATTGAGAGAAACCCGAATCCGAACCCGAACAACTCGAATTCGACCCGATTTGACCCTAAATTCATAATAATATTAAGTTTTACACTATTTTTTATAGTTTCTAAACATAACCCGAAATCTGACCCGAACCCGACCTACTGACCCGAATTGCCACCCATAATGTGGAAGCCAGAGCTACCATTAAATATATGGGATGATTTCTCTTAAATAATCAATTACTCTCTCCATTATCTCATCTTAGATTTGACATTTATCATGACACGTAGTTTTAGATGATAAGTTGTTGTTTGGTTATCAATTGTTATATTAATGCAAAAGTAAATTTAAAAGGAGATAGTAGTGTCTTACATATAGGCCGCATTAAAGAGTAGAAATGATAGGAGATGGTAGAATAATTTTTTAAAATTGAAAATTGCAAAGTATTGGACTCCTACTTTTTGGGTATGACTTATGAGAGATGTTCAATTTAATGATAGAGTTTTTCCAAAATAAAAAAAATAATTAAAAAAAAAAGTATATAAACCAATGTGGGACAATTAAAAAAGGAAAGTGTCAAGACTAATTTGAGACAATTAAGGGAGTAATGAATGGATGGAGATATCATATAGAGATGGTGTATTTGTTTAAACAAATGACATTTACGTGAACTGCAAATTGTTCAACTACTAATAGAATTTGTACATGGTTAAGTGTTTGCCTTGCATAAAAATAAGTGTGTAGTAAATATTGTAGATTTGATGAGATGATTATAAATACTTTTTGATAAATATGAGAAAATTGGATCAAAATGTTAAATACAAAGTATATATATTTGTTGAAGTAACATAATTACTAAGTTTATCATGGCATTTGTGGGTACAAATTATACGAAGAACCATTGAAAAGGAATAATAAATAAATTTATTAACTCACTTAAAATTGAACCACATTGAAATTCTTACAACTTACAAAAATACATCTTCTTCCAAATCAAAATATGGCCACAAACTCAAAATTAAAGTACACCTCAATGTCGTTCCAATTCAACAAGGTGATGTTTCACATCCTCTAAGTAAAGAAGTTGTAATACAGCCTCCCATAATGCATAATCCTCAATCAAATGCAAATTAAAGAACATGATTTTTGTTCTTTAACTCAAATGAAAATTTTGTTTAAAAACTAAGCGCCTAATTTAAGATCTAATAATAACCTCGCGTTACATATGATCTATATAGGTTCAATATAGGAATATGAAATTGCAAAAGCAAACAAAGAGGTTGCATTTGAGGCATACGGTAACAAATCACTACTCTTCTTGTGATGATTCTTTCTCTTTTCCTTGTGCTACTTCAAGTTCCGAAGTTGTATGTTGCTTATTTTCTTCTAAAGATGGAGGAGCAAAATTATTTTTCTTCATTGAAATAGAATTTTTGAGGTAGTTATATGATCCCTTTTCCTTAAATAGTTGGGCAAAGTGAGGTTTGCAATACAAATATCCATCTAGAGCAGCATAATTTGACGCAGAAAGAAAGCAACCTCCTTTTGCACACCTAAAGCATGACTTGTGGTAATTTTCTCCCTCTACAACAATCTATAATATATATGTTGTCATTGAATAAACAAGAATTAGTGAACTTGTGCTATTATAAGACTAAAAATTATTAAGTATAACATATATATTTGCTAACCTTCTCAAGGGGGTATGCAATTTTCTTACAAGTAGCACATTTGTCTTGGGTCCCAGAAAACATTGATGAAAGCTTGCTAGAAGACTTGCTCTAAAATCACAAACAAGCAAAAAATTTAGATTTTTTTTATCATAACATACATCATTTTATTAATTTGATGATCACAATATGAGAAGCTTACCAATTCACGTTTTGCAGCTGTTGTTATACAAGTAAAAACAAAAAAAAATGTGTCAGACTATATGCATATACAAGCATATAAATTTTAGAAAACTTATTTCTACAAGAACATAATATATGTATAAGAGTTTGTAGAGAAAAAGATTACATGATTGAGACTTATTATTGGAATAAGTGCCGTTTTTCTTAAAATGTTGCTCAAAATGTGGCATACAATATAGAACTCCATCCAATGATGAAAATCTACCGGTCTGTAAAATAAATAATGATGAATTGATAAGTTGTAGTAGATGTACCCAAACTTAAAATGTCATATAGCCCAATATAGGTATCTTGTATATATCATGATTACCTTATCTTGATCATATACATGAGGTTTATGGTGTACTTTGTATAAGAAACATTTAAAATTAAACCTTAATTGATATACGCACTTACCATGAGCCTCCCATTGCAATGGCTGCATTTGAAACAAGTTTTGTGATAAAGAACCCCATCGGCTGTTACCATATCGACCACATACACCGTTTTGTCACATGCCTTACATTTGTCGAGGGTTCCTGTAAACACCATTTTATTTAATCTTCCTCTTCCTCCTCGTAAGATATAATTGGATTATCTTCGAATGAGGAATGTGGAAGAAATATGTTCACAATAATTGTATTCAATGGAAACACTTTGATTATCTTAGACAAAATATTGAGATATAAAAACAAACTAAGTTGATGTAAAAACTAGAGGCCACAAAATCAAACATTGATGTATGGACATTACCCACTTGATCTACCGTATTATGAGGAGATATAGATATATTTAGAAGATGAATTGTTGCTTGATTAGCTTATGGAAGATAAAGTTAGGAAGACACTAATTTGACCAAATATATTGAAATGTATTAATTATACTTCAAGCTTAACCGTTAATTTAAGATAATAGAGTATATATCTAGATGAAAACGTACTAAACCAATATAAACTTAATAGTGTCTTGTAAATTCTTATATTATTATTGTCCATAGAAGGTATTGGTTTCCTTTTAGCATCATGCATGTAATCACATATTAAATTACTATGAATAATAAGATGCATATTACCAATTTATCACAATCGGTATAAAATACTTTGAAATCCAATAATTAAAATTAAATAGTGTGACCTTAAGATATTTGATCTATAATATTTTAACAATCTTGTTGTATTTGTTATATTTCTTTAAAAAAAAAAGACAATTTTTTTTATATTAATCAAATCTGATCCTAAACCTTACAATCCCTTATCATTATTTGCACACCATTTCCTGAAGTCACACCCCTCATATCTATCGACTTCCAATCTTAAAACAGAAAGGTGCCAACTGAGCCTCGCCTCTTTGTAGAAGACCAACATATGAAGAGTATCCTCCCTTTTTTCCCACACATTACACACATATCATCAGTTATTATACCCGTGGACATCAGATTAGCACGGGAAGCCACCCCATTACTAATAGCCCTCCACACAAAATTTTTAGCCTTTGGAGGAACATCTACATTCCACACTAACTTCCAATCAAACTCCTCTTTGCCCCTAGAAGAGGTTGCCTTCTCACGCTCTCCCTGCAAAGTCATCATCTTAAACGAGCTCTTGACTGTATATCTCCCATCTTTCGAAAAGTGCTAAACCCACCTATCCTTCCTATCAAAAATAGGAATCGGGATTGCACAGATAGCTTCAACCTCCCTTGCAGAAAAAAGAGTGTTTAGTGTCTGCAAATTCCAACTCCTCTCCACTCAAAGATCACGCACTGGAACAGTCTCCTCATTTTCAATTAGACGTTCTGGCAGCAATTTAAAGTTTGGGAGACTAGGTATCCACGGGTCACTTCTTATATCAATCGTGGCACCATCACCAATCAACTTCCTTGCACCCAACTCAATCACATCTCTAGCACCAAGGATTGAGCGCCAAGTGTAGCTCATATTTGGAACATTTTTTGCCTCGAGGAAAGATGACTTGGGGAAATATTTTCCTTTAAGCACTTTTGTCATCAAGGAGTCCTCATTAGTCATAATTCTCCAAGCTTGCTTGGCCAAGAGAGCTCTATTAAAATTCCTCATATTTCGAAACCCAAGACCTCCATGAGACTTAGGAGCATACAATTTTTCCCACGCCACCCAACTCATTCTCCTTTCATCCTTCTTTTGTCCCCAAAAAAAATTCCTACATAATTTTTCAATCTCATCAAGGATACTCACTGGAAGCAAAAAACATTGCATAGCATAAGTGGGAATAGCTTGAGCAATAGACTTAATAAGAACTTCACGGCCAGCTTGAGACAAAAAAATTTCCATCCAACCTTTCAATTTTTTCCAGACTCGATCCTGAATAATTTGGAAAATCTGTTTCTTAGAACCCCCAATGTAGGTCGGAAGCCCAAGATATTTGTCACGCCCATCGACAACCTTAAAATATAATTTAATCTGAAGAATATTTTTCCGTTCCTGCTCAATATTTCGGCTAAATGACACCTCATATTTTTCCATGTTCAGTTTCTGACCAGAAGCTACTTCATAGGTAGAAAGAATTTCCAGCACATTCTCCACTTCCTCCTCATTCGCACGTACAAATAGGAGACTATCATCCGCAAAAAATAGATGAGAGATAGGATCGACATTCGTACCAATTTTTATCCCATGAATAAGCCTTTTACTTTTAGCATCTCTCAAAAGGGTCGACAAGCCTTCAGCACACATAATAAAAAGGAAAGGGGAGAGAGGATCCCCCTGTCGAAGACCCCTACTAGGCATAAAAATCCTTGACGGCTGACCATTTACAAACACACCAAAAGAGGCAGAGCTGACACATTTCATCACCATGTTCACAAAAATAGTCGGTAAACCCAACTTAAGCATCATATTCTGCAAAAAACCCCATTCAACTCTATCATAAGCCTTGCTCATGTCAAGTTAAGACCCAAGTAGCCCTTTTTCCCAGTTTTCTTCTTCCGAAGGTAGTGAAAACACTCATAGGCAACCAAAATATTATCTGTGATCAACCTTCCTGGAACAAAGCCACTCTACGACTCATGAATAATAAAGTGAAGGACCTTTTTCAGCCTATTTGCCAAAACCTTTGTAACAATTTTATACAAAACATTACAAAGACTTATAGGTCTATAATCAACAAGAGACTCACAAATTTTCTTTTTCGGAATTAGGACAGTATGAGTCTGATTAATAGAACCTATATCACCATCATTATTCAAAATATCCAAGACTTTCTCAATCACATCATTTCCTACCACATCCCAAAATTTTTGAAAAAAGATTGCAGACATACCATCAGGGCCCGGGGCCTTAGTTGGATGCATTTGAAACAAGGCAGTACGGACTTCCCCCGCAATAAAAGGGGCAGCAAGTGAGCAATGTTGACTCTCTGTAACCTTTGACTCCACTTTCTCGATCACGGCCTCCATGTCAGTGAGGGAACTAGTGGCAAAAAGCTCCTCAAAATAAGACACTAAGACTTCAGTAATCACTTCTTCATCACGATATTCTGTGCCCGCCTCATTCTTAATGGAGTTAATGTTATTTCTTGCTGCTCGTTGCTTCACTTTTGTGTGAAAAAAAGTCGTGTTTTGTCACCATTTTTCAACCAATCTTGTCGGCTCCTTTGTCTCCAATAAGCTTCTTCCCTACTCTCCGATTCATCCATACGGTCATCGAGGGCCCTCATTTGAGCAATGATATCATCAGATTGGTATTCACTCATCAAGCATTTCATGTGAGCTCTACAATCAGCCATCTCTTTTGCAAAGTCACCAAATTTTTCTTTACTCCACTTACTAAGCCGGTTAGAAGTGCAAGCAATTTTCGATACAATGTCACCACCTGCCTCCCAAGCATTAGCAATAATTTCTGCACAATTCTCGTCTCTAAGCCACATCACTTCAAAACGATACATCTTTTTTTTCTTTTTTTTCTTCGGAATATTTATCGCCTCTTTTATGCACAAAAGAATCAGGAGATGGTCAGACCTTCTCTTCGAGAGATGAGTAACAAACGACCCCGGGAACAATTCCTTCCATGCTTGATTTGCCAAAAACCTATCCAACCTCTCCTGTATATTATGCTTTCCCCCCCCTATTATTTGTCCACATAAAATCGTGCCCAAGATATCCCATGTCAAGAAACTGACAATGATCCACCGCCCTTCTAAAGATGTCTACCTCTTCCACTCTAAAGTTCCCTCCTCCTTGCTTCTCACCTGACATTAACATGAGATTAAAATCTCCCCCACAAATCCATGGTAAATCATAAGAATCTGCCATGCCCTCCAAAAGAAGGCCAGTTTTATATTTCTGATCCTCTTCGGGAAAACCATATACACCCGTGAAACGCCACCCCCCCCCCCCCCTCTATCAAGCAATCAACAATAACATCACTATGATTTTGAGAATATGACATTACATCAATATCCACCTCATCCTTCCATAACAACATCAGACCCCACTTCTTTTTCTCCCCCCACCCTCACATTCTACTACAAAGGCACTCGGGAAATTTAATTTATTTTTTATTTTTTCAGCTTCATGTTTTTTCAAACTGGTTTCCGAAAGGAAAACCAAACGGGGGCTTTCAAGAAACACTACACGTTTCAAGGCATTCACTGCAAAGATGCTCCCCAAACCTCTACAGTCCCACGAGAGGATGTAGCTCATTGATCACCAAGAGCCCATTATGTGGGGCCCGCCACATATTCAATTGAGAGGTCTAGAGCTCTACGTTTATTACCATCAGCAGTATCAATCATCATCGAGGTATCATCCAAATTATCCGCCTCTGCACCCTTTCTTTTCTTTCCTGTATGTTTCTCATCACTAGTCAGGCCTCGGTTTTTATCTTTATGATACCTTTTCCAACTTTTCTTACTCCCTTCCCCATCAATGCTACTTGTTTTTATTGCCCCATTATTCTGTTCCTGATTTCCTTCTGTCACCACGCCACTACCAAATAAGAAAATCTCATTGCTAGTGTTGTCTTCCCCATTATTCTGTTGCAGCACAGGGTACCCATTTTATGACTAATTAAAACTAGAAGTCAAAATCCCACGTAAGTCGATAATTTGACCAAAAAAAAATAAAAATTAGAGTCGCCACTCTATTTTTGCCTGAATAGAGACGGTCTTTTGTTTATGATCGTTTTCAAATAAAAAACGACATTGACTCCATTAGATGAGGCACTATATAAGTATGGTCTTAGGAAAATAAAAAATCTAGGTACGGGGTATAAGTTAGGAAGATCGAACGTTTGGAACTCGTCTTTTCCTCTGTTCTAACGAACAGGCTCTTACTAATACGTTGTTAATTGGTTATGATTATTCACATATTTTTCCTTAAACTAATGCATAAAAACATGAAAATTTCCACATTGTCAATCACACTCAAATGTAAAATAAAAGTGAATTAAACCTTACGATATATGGTGGGTTTGAGCATTAAAGTTGCACTACGTACCGTTCATTGTGGGATTTGAATCCACTCCCGGATCAAAACCCTACGTAGTTCTTACGAACGTCCATTTATACATGGTCGAAATTTCATACGAGGTTTCAAGAAAGTTTATATTTTTTTTAGGAGAGGTGGTCGATCCATATAGGGTCATTTGAATGAGGTTGAGCAATCTTGCTTTTAAGGT